GATAGTTCGGATGCTCCTAGTCGGAAGGAGCTCACCTCTGAAGAACTCTGCAGACAAATAGAAAAGCTATTAAAAGAAAATGCCAATAACCAAAGAATATATGATTGGATTGAGGTGAGGAACCCTTTGAAGGACTCGTACAGGACCTTTTAGTAGGCTGTATTGCTATTATCCTTCTCGTCTTCTCATCTTTCCTATTTCCTACGGGTATCTTACAATTTATCACTTGTTTGTATCTTATAATTAATGATTGTAACTATGATTATGATCTGTGACCTGTCACTTCGTAGTTTGTGTGTATACTGAGAGGTTATGCATCGGAGACGAATTCCTTCTGGGTCCAATCACACTTGGCCAACAAAGAATATTCTAGTTTTCCACAGGGGGAAGCAGAGTGGGAAGGACAGGCAGAATCCACTACAGGTAGTTCTCGACTTACAACCACTTGTGTATAACACTGGAAGTTTTTAAGAAGAGACTGGACAGCCATTTGTCTGAAATGGTATAGGGCAGTGATGGCGAACCTTTTAGAGACCGAGTGCCCAAACTGCAACCCAAAACTCACGTTTTTTTTTTGGTTTTTTTTTTGCACATGGTAGCGGAGGCCTAAAGCGAACAGGTTTTATAAAACCCAGCTGAAGGCCTAGGACTGGGGCGACGGTGCACGTGCCCACAGAGAAGGCTCTGCGTGCCACCTGTGGCACGCGTGCCATAGGTTCGCCATCACGGGTATAGGGTTTCCTGCCTGAACGGGGTTGGACTAGATGACCTCCAAGGTCCCTTCCAACTTTATTATTATTAATTATTATTATTATTATTATTATTATTATTATTATTATTATTATTATTATTAAGCCCTACAGGTTGCAGTGTTGGCTCAGTGCAAAAAAACAGCAGCCTCTGGGCATAGGATGGAGGCAGTTGAACAGACCTCCGTGCATTGCATTCTTAGGCCTGTGTATTTCAACCTCGGCCACTTTTAAGAGATATGGACTTCAACTCCCAGAATTCTGGGAGCTGAAGTGCACACGTCTTAAAAGTGGCCGAAGTTGAGAAACGGGCAGTTCTGCCATTTTGCTCAGAGATAGGATGGCGGTTTCCTTACTCCTTCTTTCTGTTTTAAGAACTGACCAGGCTGTAACATGTCGCTGTAACTTTGAATGGTCACTAAATGAACTGTTGTAAGTCGAGGACTGCCAGGGTTACAATTTCCAGCTTGGTTAGCATTAGCCTTGGCTAGATTGTGTAACTCCGTGTGTAAACCCAGCCCCGAAAGTGGCAAAAGGGGATCACATGACCCAGGGACACTGCAACCGTCGCAAATATGAGTCAGTTGCCAAGTGTCTGAACTTCGATCATCTGACCACAGGATTGGTCATAAGTGTAAAAAATGGTCATAAAACGGGGTTTTGGGTTTTTTTTTCCACTGGTTGTAATTTTGAATGGCCACTAAATGAACTGTTGTAAGTTGAGGATTACCTGTATTTGCTTTAGTTCTTACAATATAAAAACATTTTGGCAAGAAAGGTCATATGCTCACTTAACAAACGTCTCGCTTAACAACAGAAATTTTGGGCTGAATTGTAGTTGTGAGTTGTATTATAACTACATTAAGTCAAAAATGAACTATACTTTCAATCTGTGGTTTGTTCGTTCCTTTATTCAATTTATTGTAACTTCCCATCTCATTTCTATGAGTCCTATGATGGTTGATCACATAGTCCAGGGATAGGCAACCTTGGCTCTTTTATGACTCGTGGACTTCAACTCCCAGAATTCCTGAGCCAGCCATGCTGAGGGGAAAGGGAGATGTTTTCAAGCTGAGCCAGGCTGGCTCAGGAATTCTGGGAGTTGAAGTCCACGAGCTGTAAAAGAGCCAAGGTTGCCTACCCCTTACATAGTCAAACAAATGTTCAGGCTGGATTTGGCATTCATTATTTTTCTGTGGCTTTGCCTGTACATGGAATGCTTTTGTACCAGAGACAAACACCTTGTGTGTCTAATCACACTTGGCCAAATAAAGTATTCAATTCAATTCAATTCAAAAGGTTTCCAGAGGTTGCACTAAATGGAATACGAGTCGTGCTCGACTTACGACCACCATTGAGCCCAAAATTTGTACTGTGAAGTGTGAAATTTGTTAAGCGAATTTTGCTCCATTTTACAACTTTCCCCCTCACATCTGTTAACTGAATCGCTGCAGTCGGCAAAGGACTAACCCGGTTGTTAAGTGAATCTGGCTTCCCCCCCATTGACTTTGCTTGTCAGAAGGTTGCAAAAAGAGGATCGCGTGATCCCGGGGCACGGCAACCGTCATAAACGTGAGCCGGTTGCCAAGCGTCCGAATTTTGATGGGGGGGATGCTACAACGGTCGTCAGTGTGAAAATGGTCGTGTGACTTTGTTTGTAACTTCGAACGGTCACTAAATGGAACCGTTGAGGACTACCTGTATTTCTGACCCACTAATTTTTAGCATTTTTTTTCCCTCTCCCGCCAGGTAAACCTGAGTGAACAGCAGGTCTCCTCCAGTATGTTTATCAGGGCCCTGATGATGTCAGTGTGCCATTCCGCCGTCATCTGTAAGCCTTTCCCCTTATCAAAGGGCAGATGGGGGGTGGGGTGGGGGGGCTTTGGGGGAGGCACCTATTATGGGAACCCCATGCAGCTAAATTGGGTGAAGTTGGTCTCAGCTGAAAAGAGCAGCCACCTGTCAATCAGTAGCATTGCCTAGTTTTCTGGACCCCCTCAGTATGGATTGGGCCTACTGGTGGTGGTGTTGACAAGGCCCCTGAGGGGGCAGAACAGAGACCCGGAAGGCAAAGCTGCCATCCTGCAGAATTCCAGCTTCCAGGACCCTTCACCATTCGCCTGTCCAGCTGGCTAGAACTGGAGCTGTATATCTCCACCTTAAGGAGAGGTGTGTGTGGAGATTTTCAATCATCCAGGTCAGGGATCTTCAAACTTTTGACCCTTTTCTGACTTGTGGACTTCAACTCCCAGAATTCCTCAGCCAGGCATGCCTGGCTGAGGAATTCTGGGAGTTGAAGTCCACAAGTCAGAAAAGGGTCAAAAGTTTGAAGACTTCTGATCCAGGTGATGCCTGACTGATTGATATTCATCCAGGTGATGGTTGTCCCAAAGGTGTGCTTTTTTTTTTCTCTTTCTCTCTTAAATGGCAACTGGACTACCTTGTTGTTTTTTTTTCATCTTTAAAGATGTTTTGCTTCTCATCCAAGAAGCTTCAGTTCTAACTTCAGTTAGAACAGCGGTTCTCAACCTATGGGTCGTGACCCCATTTGGGGTCGATCGACCATTTCACGGGGGTCGCCAAGCAAGGCTGTCCGCCATTTTTTTTTTCCCTTTTCCGGCGGTTGCCTTACCTCCCTTGAGCTGGGCCAGCTGGTGGTCGGCCTGCTCCGTCTCTGCCGCTTGCCAGCTACGCCTCGGCCGGCGCAGGGGGCGGAACCACGCATGCGCGGCGCTCCCGGGCAGGGAAAGTCCTCGACTTACGACCGGTTTAGTCCTCGACTTATGACCGGTTTAGTCCTCGACATACGACCGGTTTAGTCCTCGACTTACGACCGGTTGGGGGTCACGGCATTAAAAAGGTTGAGAACCACTGAGTTAGATCATTGTGCTTGGGGCCAGGCATAAAACTCTCCACTGTCCATTTGTTCAGCTGACCTCTCCCTTTCCTCCGTTGCTACAGTCGAGAATCCTTACCGGATGGACAATCTTGTGATTAAGAGCCGAGCTAAGCTGCTGCAGAAATACTTGAGCGATGAAGATAAGGAGCTGCAGGCCCTTTATGCTTTACAAGCCCTAGTGGTGAAGCTGGACCAGCCAGCAAGTAAGTCTCCCGCAGTTCCGGAAAAAGATCCTAACCGGGACAGGGAGGGAGGGAAGCAAGGCCGTGAAATCAGTGGCACGAATTCCCAATCCAGAAATGTGGAAACCGAGCAGAATTCATCCTGAATAGCAAACCCGAACTCCGCGGAGCTGTACTCACTCAGCCTGCTTGTTTCTGTCTGGTGAGAATTGGACTTTGAATCTTAAAAGGACAGGTGTCTGTGGAGATTGCCAGTCCTCCAGGTCATGGTTGTCCCCAAAATGCTTTTTTTTTCAAAAGTTCTGAACTTTTGAAGCATGGCTGGCTCAGGAATTCTGGGAGTTGGAAGTCCCTGAGTCATAAAAGAGCCAAGGTTGCCTATCCCTGCGCTATACTACAACCGTACAGGTATTCCTCGACTTAACGATCACAACGGAGCCCAAAATTTATGTTGTTAAAGTGAGCTTTGTCTCATTTTACGACCTTTCTACCGTTAAGTGAATCACTGCAGCTGTTAAGTTAGTAACACGGTTGTTAAGGGGAATCTGGCTTCCTCATTGACTTTGCTTATCAGAAGGTCACAAAAGGGGGTCACGTCACACACACACACACACACACACACACACACACACACACACACCCAGGACACTGCCACCATCATAAATCTGAGTCAGCTGCCAACCATTTTTAATTTTGATCCCTGCTTTTCGCTGCTGCGAAAGTCATAACGGTGAAAAATGGTCATTGGTCACTTTTTTTAAGTGCTGTTGTAACTTTGAACGATGACTTAATCGAACGGTTATCAGTCAAGGATTACCTGTACTTTACCCAATCCAGTAGATCTCTGAAATAGTCAGTTGCATAGATGAAGAGGAAACAGAAGGAAAAAATCTCCTCCGCCCCCCAGGATATTGGACTTTTCAAAATTGTCAAGCCAGTGGGCCTTTTAAAAATGCTGCGTTTCCACTTTTTTTCCCCTAATTCCTTCGACAAGCTGATTAGCAAATCAGAACACCGAAGCAGAAGGCGTCGGAAGAGGGCTAAATTGCTTTAGATGCCTTAGGAACCAGCTGCGCTCTTCTTCCACTTTACCGTCTATTGACGGAGCAGGATTTTGATATTTTTGGTACGGGACACGTGTGCCTGATTATAATGGAGGGGGAAATTACAGACCTACAGAAGCATCCTTTTGATCAGCGCGACAGAAAAGCGGTTCCAAATTATCAGGCCTTAAGGCTGAATTTTGAAAAACGCTCTGGCAGATGGTTTGCAAAAAAAAAAAAAAGATAGGAAAATTACATATTTTCCCCCCCCTCCAGACTTCACTGACTGATTATCATTGGAGGGTTAAATGCCGAATCTGCCCCTTTTCTTCCTGCTGTGTTTTGCAGGGGGGATTTTGATGAGGTTAAAGCAGGGGTCTTCAAACTTGACAACTTTTAAGACTTGTGGACTTCAACTCCCAGAATTCCTCAGGGCTGGCTGAGGAATTCTGGGAGTTGAAGTCCACAAATCTTAAAGTTGCCAAGTCCGAAGACCCCTGAGGTAAAATAATACAGGCAGGCCTTGGCCTAACGACCACAAGTGAGCCCAAAATTTCTGTTGCTAAGCGACACAGTTATAAGTGCATTTTGCGGCATTTTCCGACTGTTCTTGCCACAGTTGTTAAGGGAATCGCCTCACTTCTTAACGTTAGTGACACAGTTGTTAAGTGAATCTGGCTTCCCCATCGACTTTCCTTGCCAGAAGGTCCCAAAAGGGGATCACATGACCCCGGGACGCTGCAACCGTCATAAATACGAGTCAGTTGCCCAGCATCTGAGTTTTGATCAGTTGGTCATGTGATCAGTTGTAAGTGAGAAAACCGGTCGTGTCACTTTTTTCAGTGCCGTTGTAACTTTGAACGGTCACTAAATGAACTGTTGTAAGCCGAGGACTACCGTATTTCTCTGGGAACGGAGTGCTGAATGAGAGGCACTCACCGTGTCGACAGTCGCTGTTTTCCTGGCAGGGAACAAAACCCACAAAACACCACAAATTCCCATTGGGCCTCTGAAGATCAACCTCAGGTGTGCATTACCTGAGCCCCAGGTATATATGCCGCCCTCCAAAGCCTTGGAGGGACAGCCCTCAAAAGTTGTCACTGCGTGACTAATTCCTATTTCTGTTTTTCAAATGTTCACACCATCACCGGCTGCCAAGTCCTTAAAGGGAGATGCAAATCCAAATTTAAAGCCTGCTTAGCGAAGATGTTTCTCAGGCCTTTGGTAAAGCTATCAAGATAGTGAAAATACATCAAATTTTAGGGGTTTTTTTTGCCTGGCTTTCTGGGGTCCAGCCCTCTTGGCTTGGTTCTCTAGACCTGAGAAAATTTACAGACCATCTTTGCTGCCAGCCTTTCGTAACTTGGCTCCTCCCGGCTCTGTCGAGTCACATGATCCCCTTTTGCGACGTTCTGACGGGCAAATTCAACGGGGAAACCGAGATTCACTTAACACACCCGTGTTATTAATTTCACCCCCGCAGTGATTCGCTTAACAAATGGGGCAAGCAAAGTCGTAAAATGGAGCAAAAGTCACTTAACAAATGTCTCATTGAACAACAGAAACTTTGGGCTCAGTTGTGGTCGTAGGTAGAGGACCACCTGTATAAAGTTCTTGGATTAGGTTGTAAAATGGGGGAAGACTCCTTGAACCACAGAAACATTGGGCTCGTCTGTCCCAAAGGTGCTTTTTCAGGAGGCATCTGGACTTTCTTGTTTTTTCTTTGAAGACGTTTCGCTTCTCATCCAAAAAGCTTCTTCAGCTCTGACAGGATGGTGAAGGATTTATACTCCTTGCAGACAGAGCCGGTCATTTGCCTTTTAGAGAGTCGTTGAGGCCACCTGGAGGTTTGTTTGTGTCCTCAGGGTCACCTGGGTGGTGCAGATGGGTGTGGATCCTTAAGTTAAGCCGAAAGCACAGCTCCACACCCATTTGCGCTACATAGCTGGCCCTGAGGACACAGATAAGCCTCCAAGTAGCCTCAACGACTCACTAAAAGAATGCAAATGACCAGCAGTCTGCCAGGAATATAAACCCTTCCCTTCCTCACCACCCAGTCAGAGCTGAAGAAGCTTCTTGGATGAGAAGCGAAACGTCTCCAAAGAAAGTCCAGTTCTGAAAAAGCACCTTTGGGACAACCCTGACCTAGATGACGGAGAACCTCCGTGGACGTCGGCCTCGGCTGTGGTCGTAAGTCGAGGGCGGCCTGCCTCAAGGCTCAGTGGGCCGCGGGGGGGGGAGATGCTCCCGGGCTGACCGGCTTTCTCTCCTTGCTTCCAGATCTCCTCCGAATGTTTTTCGATGCCCTGTACGACGAGGACGTGATAAAAGAGGACGCCTTCTACAAGTGGGAGTCGTGCAAGGACCCAGCCGAGCAGCAAGGAAAGGGTGTCGCCCTCAAGTCGGTCACAGCCTTTTACACTTGGTTGCGCGAAGCTGAGGACGAATCCGACAACAACTGAGCCCCACAAGACGGGCAGAGGGCGGGGTGGGGGGCAGACCGAGCCTGCCCTGCTGCCCTGGCCCCTCCTCGGAGCCTGGACTCCCTCGGGCGCTGGCACGGGGATGGAGACACGCAGGACTGACCTCTGCCATCTTTTCTCCTGCCCGCCCTCATAAGACTGCTTTTTCTTTCTTTCCCCCTTTTTTTTTCCCCCCTTTTTTTTTTTCCGGTTGGGATTTTTTTTTTCTCTCCATTTTTGTTTTTCGTTTTCGTTTTAACAGCCTGTATTGGTTTGTGTCTTGACGATAATAAATTGATGCTCAAGGAGGTAGGTGTTGCTGTGGGCGCGCTCCGCTCAGAACCCAGGCTCGTGCCCCGGGGGAACCCGGATGATTTTCATGAGCGGGGGGCCCCCCCTCAATTCTGCTGGTGCAAAAGCACCCCCCGAAACACATGTCTGATGGAAGGGGGTGGGTAGCCAACCCAATGCCTACGCTCCTGCCATCTCTCTTTCTCTCTCCTTCTCTCTCTCCTCTCCCTCCCTCTCCCCACTTTATTGCTGAAATATAGAGATTATATAAATATATATATAAAATATAAATATAGACTTATTAAATCTTTTGAGGTTGGAGAATAGAACTCTTTAACTGTCCACAAACGGCTCTTCAGATCGTCGCCCACTTTTCTTTTCTTTTTTTTGCATCGCCGCCTGGAATTAACGTAAACCACCCCCAAACCGGGATGGATGTTCCTTTGAAGAACAATTTTTTTTGGCAAGCAAGCGCAACAGAAATCATTTCAAACCTCCACCTTGCTTGGGAGCTGCAGGCCTCTCACCGGCCAAGAGGTGAGGGCAGCTCGGAGCTTCTCTGCCCCTCCACGAGCTCACCACGGCTGCCTTGGCCTACTAGGGTCAACCTCACCCCTTCGCCCCCTCGGGCCCCCCCCTCCTTGCCCGCCTCCGAGCACACGGAAGGGGGGGACGGGCGCGCGACCCGCTTCGTCTGCGCTTGGATAGTTAACGGAGCCGCGCTTGTAACGGAAAGCAAAAAAACGACAACGAAACCACAAACAGGAAAAAAAATATATATAAGGATACAATAACCGGTCACGTGAATTTGTAAATATATATTTTTTTCCCCTCTTTATTTTCTTTTTTCTTTTTTTGTTTTTTTTTCTCTTCTTTTTCTTTACGGAGTATTTAATTGAAGATTCAAAAACAACAAAAAAGAGCATCTTTTCACCGTAAACTGGAAATAATAATAATAATAAAAAAAGAGAACATTGCTAAACCAAGGTGACGTGTGGGTGATGTCGGATCCCTGCCCCGATCGCAGCAGGAGTTTCGGGAGAGAAACGCCGCGTCTTGGATCACCCCGACCTGCCGGGAGAAAAAAAAAAGGGGGGGGGAGCTTGGAGGTAGCCCTGCGTTTGAGCCGCTTGATGTGGGACGATTTGGCGTGTTGTTCTAAGCCTTCTACTTTTGAAGAAGAAAAAAAGGGGGAGGGCAGGTTATCCGAGAAAGAACGGGCCTGAAGAAATTTACACAACGAAGAGGACGAGGCAACGTGGAAAAGGAGGGTTATTGTAAGTTCTACAAGTGCGTGTGCTTGCATTGCGGCTGTGGCTAATTTTGATGGGACGTGAAAATAAAAGTCTTTGGACAGGTTCCTTGCAAGCTTTGAAGCGTGCAGAGTTGTCTCCCAAATTGTGTTTGGAAAAAAAAACACTTTAAAATGCCACTGGCTGCGATCCCGTTGACGGTATTTTAATTGAAACCTACGTTTAATTTGTGTCTTGGTTACTTCTCCCGTGGCTTTTCTAGCAGGCCCCTCTCGAAGTCCTTAAACTGAAGGGCACTGAGTATTCCCGGTCTGAAAGGCAGATAGTAGGAGCACTTAGGCTTAACGCAGGTAGTCCTCGACTTACAACAGATCGGTTAGTGACCATTCAAAGTTACAACTGCGCTTAATGACCATTTTCATTGTGGCATTCCCGTGGTCAGGTAATCGAAATTCAGACGCTTGGCAACCGACTCGTATTTATGACGGTCGCGGGGTCACGTGATCTCCTTTTGCGACCTGAACAGCAAAGTCAGTACGATTCACTTAACAACCGTGTTAGTAACTTAGCAACTGCAGTGATTCACTTAACAGCTGTGGCAAGGTAAAATGGGGCAGAGCCTGCTTAGCGATAGAAAGTTTGGGCTCAATTGAGGTTGTAAGTCAAGGACTACCTGTACAGGTATTCCTCGAGTTACAGCAGTTCATTTAGTGACCGTTCAAAGTTACAATGGCACTGAAAAAATGACGATGACTGTTTTTCCCACAACGGTTGCAGCATCTCCATGGGTCACGTGATTAAATTTCGAATGCTTGGCAACTGACTTATATTTATGACGGTTGCCCTGTCCAGGGGTCACGTGATCCCCTTTTGTGACCTTACAAGCAAAGTCGATGGGGGGGAAGCCAGATCCACTTAACAACTGGGTTACTAACTCAACAGCTGCAGTGATTCATTTAACAACTGTGGCACGCAAGGTCGTAAAATGGGCAAAATCCACTGAACAAATATTTCACCTAGCCACAGAAATGTTGGGCTCAAATGTGGGTCGTAAGTCGAGGACTATCTGCATATCTCTATAGTGCTTTGCAACGGGGGTCTCCAACCCTGACAATTTTTAGACTTGTAAAACTGGAACTCCCAAAATTCCTCAAATTCCTGGGGGATTCTAGGAGCTCAAATCCACAAGTCTTAAAAGTCGTCGGGGTTGGAGACCCCTGCTTTACAGCCCGCTCCAAGCGGTTGACTGTCAACCTATTTGCCCTCCAACAATCTGGGTTTTCATTTTACTGACCTCGGAAGAATGGAAAGGCTGAGTCAACCTTGAGCCGGTCAGGATCGAACTCCAGGCTGGGCAGAGTTGGCCTGCAATTCTGCCTTCTAACCACTGCGCCACCAGGACTCCGTTAATATAATAATACCTCCTTGGGGGGTATCCTGCGTTGAACGTGGAGAAGGCTTAAGTGCCGGTAAGTACAATTTTATGTCGCCGCGTGAAATGAGCTGTGGTGGCCCAGTGATTAGAATGCAACATTGCAGGCTAATTCTGCCGACTGCCACCAGTTCGATCCTGACCGGTTCAAGGTTGACTCGGCTTTCTAAGGTAACTAAAATGAGGGCCCAGATGGTTGGGGGCAAATATGCTGACTCTAAACGGCTTAGACAGGGCTGTAAAGCATTGTGAAGCGGTCTATAAGCCTAAGTGCTATTGCTAAGTGCTTCTTAACTGTTCCTGCTCTGTGCCAGATCAAATCTGTGAAGTTTGCTCAAGTCGAGAGACCGATTATGACCTCACCCACTAATGCTCATTGAGTTAGTTTTCAACATTGTAGATAAGAGTCAACAATGGGTCCTATTGAGGTGTAGACAAATTAGCTTAAACCAAATTTCTTGCTATTACTATTGCCATGAGCAATGTGTGCATAAATTAGGTTTAGTAAAAAAAGTGTCTTTATAGGATTATGTCGAGAATGCTAGATCCTCATCTCTATGTATGACCTGTTCTTCACAGGCCATTCTTCGATTTGATGGATCTTAACATTCAAGGTTATATTACACATGGCTGGGAGAGAACAGGATCTGTAGTGCATCAATTACACACCTGTATCTAGGGCAGCGTTTCTCCACCTTAGCAGCTTGAAAATGTATGGATTTCCAACTCCCAGAATATTACATCTTCAAGCCACCAAAGTTGAGCGACGTTGATCATTCTAGACCAGGGACCTTCAAACTTGGCCCTGTTATGACTTGTGGACTTCAACTCCCAGAATTCCTCAGCCAGGCACGTGTGCCTGGCTGAGGAATTCTGGGAGTTGAAGTCCACAAGTCATAACAGGGCCAAGTTTGAAGGTCCCTGGTCTAGACCAAATCTGGGGAATTTACAGAGAAGTCCTCAACTCAGGACCAGAATTTCTATTGCTAAAGCAAAGTGGTTAGGTGAGTTGTGCGTTATTTTACTAACCTTTTTGCCACGGTGGTTCAACAAATCATTACAGTTGTTAAATGAATCGTGGGGTCATTAAGTGAATCTGGCTCCTCTCCCCCTCCCATGACTGTTTGTCAGAGGTCAACTGGGAAGGTCACAAATGGCGATCACCGTTGTAAATACATGCTAGTTACCAAGCATCTAAAGTTTGTTCGTGTGGTGGTGTACTGCCAGGGTCATAAGTGTGAGGACTGGTTGAAGGTCCTTTTTTTCAGTGTCATTGTAACTTCAAACAGTCACTAAACAAACACTTGCAAGTACAAAGTTTAGGGCAAGAGTCCCCAACCTTGGCAACGTTAAGACCTGTGGATTTCAACTCCCAACTCCCAGAATTCCCTGCCAGCATGGCTGGCTGGGGAATTCTGGGAGTTGAAGTCCACAAGTCTTAAAGTTGCCATGGTTGGGGACCCCGACTTTAGGGTGCAGATCACTTAAGGACTCTCTATGAAAGATTCTCAAAACTTTACTTTAATAATAATAATAAAGTTGGAAGGGACCTTGGAGGTCATCTAGTCCAACCCCCTGCTCAGGCAGGAAACCCTAGACCATTTCAGACAAATGGCTGTCCAGTCTCTTCCTAAAAACTTGCAGGAAGTTTGAGGAAGGCCAACGGTTAATTTGGTAAGAATAATAAAATTGTGGGTAGAAGTAGCCGTTCACGGTTTCTCTTCACACTTTTTCTGGTTTTACCTAATTAACTCTTGGAATGATGCAAAATGATAAGACATTTTAGGGTGGGCTAGGCTGGTGATGTTTGTGGGAAAGGTAAGTTCTCTTTAATAAGAGAGTATGACAAAAAAATTGCTATGTATTGCAATGTCTTTATAAAAACTATGCTCTATCTGCCATTGGCAGGTCGGCTAACCAACTAAAACGATACTGAGAAAAGAGACTGGCACTAAAATTAGCATGGGACTGGGGTGAATTTCCCGTGAAGACTTTTGAGAGTTTTTCTATTTAGAAAGAACCCCCAAAAGGGACATAATGGGGAGTTTTATATTCTGTATTGGATCATAAGCACATCCTTTGCGTTCACACAACATGGAGACAAGCAAAGATAAAAGATAGAGGTTAGAATAACCATTGAACATGAGAATGCGGCTATTAGGTCTTCTACTGACCTGGTTGAAATCTAGCTTGTTTTGATCACCTTCTCCTGGATTGTTCCAGAAAGCTGATGGAGGGCACCAACGAATGAGGTTTGCACCAAAAAAGAAAGCTAGTTTAAATGTTACTGTTGGGCAAAGTTGTGACGAGCCCGACTATAACAAGAAAACAT